AAAACACTCTCAAACTGCAAAATCCTATATTAAAAAATGAGATGCTATTAACAATGTGAATGTAAAAGCTAAAGAAATTTTTTAAAAAGCAAGAGCTCAGGAGGTATTGGGGCCTGTGAATAACGGGCCACAGCCGCCAGCATTTGTAAACCTGAGGCCGCCCTCCATTTTTAAGGACTCTCAGTAGCTTAAGTAGCTACACTTCTGTTTCTCTAACCCCAGGAGCATGTATCGGTCAAAAATCACTGGCATAATGTTCCGGGAGCCTGACTCTCATTCCGTGAAAGCCTGGGGGACCAGGGAGGATAAAAATCTGGCCCATGTTCATGCCTACGCTCAATTATATAACAGCGCACATACCAAAATTTTCCAAAATGTATTTCGGAAAGGCAGACTAGCAAAGCCAGGTCTCAAGGAGCAAAGTGAACCCTACCCACGTGCTCAACCCCAATGCTTTAGGGGCCAGGCCTGGCTGTAAAGGTTCCCCTATTGGCATCAACGCCACGAAAGTCTGGGTCAGAAATTCTGGATCGCTTGCACCTTTTGCTGTGCGGCTTTGCGTTCCATTGGCATTGTATGTTAGTGGGCGCTCATCAGTAAAAGTAACAGTATGTGGGGAAGGGCTGTGGAGGGGAGAAAGGACTGGTTTTCAATACATTAGTGGGTACGTTCGATTCTGATGGCTTCTCCATCTCTGGGCACGCAAGGTGGAGAGGAGAATGGAAAGTTATCAGGCAGCAAGGACACCCTATTCCGACCCCAGAAGGCTGCTGAGAGGATCCAAATGAAATTTTGCCAGCAGGGAGTGAGAGAGCTTCAATAAATGTTGCTTATTTTGTACTTTGCAGGGAGCAAAAACAAGGACAGACAGAGAGCAGCCGGCAATACCCTGTTTCCCCGAAAATAAGACTGTGTCTTTTAATTTTTGCTCCCAAAGATGCGCTAGGTCTTATTTTCAGGGGATGTCTTGTTTTTCCATGAAGAAGAATACGGTACACATTTATTGTTAAATGAAAATAAAGGAAATGTTTTACCTGTATACGGTACGGTAGTACGGTAGTTGTCAACACAAACCAGACAAACTGTGAATCCTACAGTATCAAGAATTTACTCATTTATTCAATGACAATCATGTCATCCTCTTCTGGAACATCATCATAACAATCCAATTCCTGAATTTCCTAGTGAATTTCTTGTGACTCCATTTCTTTCAGAATCAGTGGACCAAATCTCTCATGTTTAGCCTAGGGGGGGGGGCTTATTTTGGGGGGAATGCCTTATATTTCACTCAGAAGGAAACCTGTAAGTAGATCTTATTTTCAGAGGATGTCTTATTTTCGGGGAAACATGGTAGTAAGCCGTCTCCTCAGAGGGCAGCAACCAGCAGCTGCTAGGTCACAAGCGAGATGGACAAGCAGCATCGCCCGGCCCCCAGCCCCCCAGCCTGGCTCACCCTCCCCCGAATGTGTGTGCATCGTGACAATTCACTGCTGTCACCTGAGGCCCCGCTCAGGCCCGAAATAACCAGACACACCATGGGAGCCATCGCTTGAATGTCAGGCAACCAGACTTGCCTCCAAGGAGACGCGGACAAAGGAAACATTCACCAAAGGAAAGAGCCCTTTTCTCTCTGGCGTAACCGAGTCTCTATGCTGTTCGCTTCTTCCTTGAGTGTCAATAGATCCCAGAAGATACTTAGATACTTTCTCTAACCTCCATGTAATAAAAAGAAAACTATTCTTAGCAAAACATGGTGTGTACAGCACTCCAGGGCTTACAAAGCAATTTATTTCACATTTACAAGAGGAAAGAATAAAAAGAACAGCTCCAGGAATGGGACCTCATGAAAATACATATATAAAATCTGGCCACACACACACTGAGTGGCAAGATTTTATATATATATATATATATATATATATATATATATATATATATATACACACACACACACACACACACACACACATACATACATATTCTTTTTAAGTTCAAGAACCACCCTGAGAACCTCCACCACCAACGTGTCCAGCAGAGGGCAGACTAGATTCAACATGGAAAAACTTAAGGTCAGTTCATCAGGCCACTCGCAAGCTGTGCAATATTTACAAGGGATTGCATTGTTTCCTTCTCCGCCACAGGATGGAAAATATGTGTCATTTCAGTATTGAACAAACCCATTTACCTAAAAGCCAGTTGCAAGAACAAAAAAAAAACAAAGCAAAGGGAACTCGTCAAGAGCTACAGCGTCCACTTTACATATAAGTCGGCCTGTTTTTATACACGACGGCGATATGACAACTTTTTGACAAAGAGTTTTCTTAGTCTGTAGAGGATATTGGCTTAACTCTTACAATTGCCCTTAGGTACAGAAATGATGTCACAATGCTCTACCGCTTGACAGTCCATAATGCTCAGCGACATTATCTTGCTACATTAGCTTGTCACGTGTCTAACCTAAGGAACTCTAAGTTAATCCTTGAATGATGTTTCTACCTTGAGCAGCTATGCTTCTCCAGAGTTCCTTTCTCACACACACAACTGACCAACAAGGTTCTGCATGAGACTTTAGCTCTTACAGGGGCCTTTCACATCAGAGTCAGGTAAGAGACAAGGAGGTTGGCGGGAAAAACTCATTACTCTTTTTTTTTTTTTTTAAATATATTTTATTGATTTTTTTACAGAAAGGGAGAGAGATAGAGCTAGAAACATCGATGAGAGAGAAACATCGATCAGCTGCCTCCTGCACATCCCCTACTGGGGATGTGCCCGCAACCAAGGTACATGCCCTTGACCGGAATCGAACCTGGGACCTTTCAGTCCGCAGGCCGATGCTCTATCCACTGAGCCAAACCGGTTTCCTCGAGACTCATTACTCTTAGCACAGGCGAGAAACTGGGACTCCAGGAGGTGTGATGGGATTGTCCCAGCTTCACTTAGCACTTGGGGATTAAGCCGACACTCCAATCTGTGCCCCGACCCACGTCCAGCTCTCTCCCCGCCGCCTCTTTCTCAGAACCACGGGCCTTCCCCCCCTGCGAGAGGCCCGCCTTCCCGTGTGCTACGTGAAAAATACATGGAGGTTTTTATTGGTGAGTGTTTAATAAATAGGTATTGAATCGTCGGGAAGTGCAAATGGACTCAGGAAGTCCTAAGCAGCGTTCTTTTTTAGAGATGAGGAGTGTGTGCTTCACAAAACCGGCGTTCTTACATGTCACGCAGACACGGTACACTGCTTATTCCTGATATCTACATGGTGTTCCTTCCCCTAACACAGCACGAGGCTCTCCTCCAGTAATAGCTGCAGATTTCACCATCCCCCAGTCAAACCTGGAGTTCCAGCTACTGGCAGCTCACCCTCAGAATAGGCTAAGCTAGTTCCAGTCGTCTTTGAGCCGTTCTCACGTAAAGCAGGGAGAAGATGTGCAGCCAGTCAATGCCACGCCGTTAACTGTATTGTCTGCCTGGACGCTGGATGGGAAAAGCCACGCCAATATCCCGCTGATTGGGTCCTAATAAACGTTATCGGAAACCGAAGCATTTCCTGGTGGAGGTTAGCAAGCTATTTGGCCTTACCCAATCAAACCACAGAAAGGCTGCTGCAGCAGAGATGATCTTTGAAGAATGAACACATCAAACTTAATTCAAAGGAAACCGCTTTCTCCTTTCCCTCTCCTCCCTTTTTTTTTTTTTTTTTTTTTTTTTTTTTTTTTTTCTGATTAAGTGTTCTGGTAAATTCTAAGCCCACCACCAGGAATGACTCATGGAGGAACTCCTGCCGCCTTGCATGCATCCTAACCGGGAATGGTGATGCTGGTGCATTGCAGCAGCGAGGTCTCGGTATGTTCCTCCACCTCTGTCATCATCGGGAAATCCTGTGGTTTCTGCTCTGGGAAGAGGCAGCCAAGGACTTGCTGAGCTTCATAAGGCTGAGCCCAGCAGGCAGACCCAGCCACGTGTCCATCGGTGAACAAAATGCACAACGTTTGATCAGTCCCTTGCTCCTGTTCGGTGCCCAACGTGTTCCCCGCTGCAGGAGGTCACACACCCCCTGCCCCCTGCAGTCCCTGTGCCTCCTCCCATTCCCTGCGTCCCTCCGCTAATGAAATGGGGTGACAGACAGACAGGGGAACAGGAGAGGGGCTCCCTGGGGAGGAGACAATGTTCAATTGAAATAAAGGCGATAGCCTAAACCGGTGTGGCTCAGTGGACAGAGCATCGGCCTGCGGACTGAAAGGTGCCAGGTTTTCGGATTCCGGTCAAGGGCATGGACCTTGGTTGCTGCAGGCACATCCCCAGTGGGGGGTGTGCCAGAGGCAGCCGATCCCTGATTCTCTCTCATCCATGTTTCTAACTCTCTATCCCTCTCCCTTCCTCTCTGTAAAAAAAAAAAATCAATAATAATATATTTTTTTTTAAAAAGAAGGAAAGAAAGGCGACAGCCCTGGGTTCGCAGCGTGCAGCCTTTCCTTGCGGGGACTCCTCCTCCCCCGATTTGGGGTCTGGAGCATGCACACGGGGTAGGGGGAAGGGAGGGGAGGGGAGGGAAGCCCCAGCTCCCCCATCCTCCCCACCCCACCCCCTGCAAGGCCTGCAGCCAAGTTGGCAGCAGGCACATCCCTTGACCCCGCCCGGCCGCCAGGCCTCGGCCAAGGTCGCCGGCGGGAGCTCCCGGCGAGGTCCCGGTCTGTCTGCACCCGCACCGGCCGCGGGCGGCCCAGGGCGTCCCGCCCGCCCGAGGGACGTCAGCAGCGCCCCCGCCTGCAGACCCTCCGGGCGGGCGAACGTGACCGCCCCGCCCCGGCCCGGCGCCGGCCCCGCCCCCTGGCCCGTCCGCGGGCGGCCAATCAGCGCCGCGCGTGGGCGTGGCCGGCGTCGTGAGCCCCGCCCCCGCGCGCGCCCTCCGCGCGTTATAAATACGGCCGCCGGCTCGCCCGCCGCCCGCAGCGGCAGCAGCAGCAGCAGCGGCAGCAGCGGCCCGGGCGGCAGGCAGGACTAGAATGCAAAGTGCCATGTTCCTGGCCGTCCACCACGACTGCGGGTCCATGGACAAGAGCTCTGGCAGCAGCCCCAAGAGCGAGGAGAAGCGGGAGAAGATGAAGCGGACCTTGTGAGTACCGCCTTCTTTCCCCCTGATCCCGCCCGAGCGAGCTCCCCGCGTTTGCTGCAGGATGCAAACCCCCGAGCTCCCCGGGTGCCTAGAGGCTCGGCTTTGACAATAGGAAACTATGCAGGCTGCGGCTCTGCAGGGAAAAAAAAAAAAAAAAAATGTGCAAAACTTTAATTGGCTAAGTGAGGTTAAATCCCTGTGGTCTGTGCTTTGATGCATGGGCGAAGGACTCTCCGGGAGATAGAGTTGAGGAATTGAAGAAATTTCTTGATTCCTATGCGATGGGAGAGGCGGGTGAGAAATTGGGGGGTGGCTTTTTGTCCCCCTGCTGCGGGCGGCTAAGCGCATCCCCTTCATTCCTATGTTGCGTTTTTAAGTTCTGAGCAGCTTACAGAGCGGCAGGCATGGAGATATTTTTGCTGCTCTGGATATATTCTTTTTTAAATCCACTTCTTTTTTTCTGTGTTTTTTTTTTTTCCTTTTAACTTGGTAATTGAGTGGATCGTCTGCTTCGGATGAGTGTTGTCGCAGGGGGTGGGAGGGTCGGTCACACACCCCCTCCTTGTTGTACCAGCTCTGGCTGGTCCAGAGCCTTCTCCTCTGCGGGCAGAAAGGACATGAGCGTGACTGGCTCAGGCCAGTTCCACTGGCATTTCAAGTGTGAAATGTCCAGGGATTATAATTAACGTTGCAGACAAAAAACGGCTGCCTTTTTCGGGCCAGAAATGCCATCTGCCTTTTGAACTGTGCAAACGAAATGTATTAAACGACCCTAGTCATTTAGGTGGCCCTTCCCTGAGACACAAAACTAATAGGTCTGTTCCGACGGATGAAAGAAACTAATTGTGCTCAACACAGAAGTGCAGGGATTAAACAAGGCGCTTAAAAAAAGAGTTCTTGTTTTATCTCACTTCAGTTTGTCTCTATTTCCTGGGAGGCTTTAGTTAAAAAAAAAAAAAAACAACGCCATCAGCTGCAGTAGCAATTTCAAGTTGCCAGTTTAGTGAATCTTTTCTCCTCCTTCCTTTGCAGGTTAAAAGATTGGAAGGCTCGCTTGAGCTACTTCTTGCAACATTCCTCCTCTCCTGAGAAGTCCAAGACCGGCAAGAAAAGCAAACAGCAAACCTACATCAGGTGAGCTGGACACCTCGTTCTTGGCAAAGCCGGTGCGCTGTCTGCCTCACGGGAACAGGGAGCAGGATTCTGGGGTGCCTCAGCTCACCTGCACCTTCTCTTCTCTTGCAGGCCTTCCCCCGAGGAGGCACAGCTGTGGTCGGAAGCCTTCGATGAGCTGCTCGCCAGCAAATGTAAGTCGGCCACTTGAATGTCATCCGCCTCAGGCGTCCCCAGGGTCTAGCGAGGTCGTGTCCATGCAACAGGGACAGCGGCTGGACAGGCACTGCCACACGAGGCCCGTGTTTCTCCTCTATTCCCCAGCGCTGAACCGTGGCCGTGCAGGGTTGATTCATTCCAGGTGGGGGTGAAAACGAGCCTAAATAATTTACAGTGGCAGTTGCTCTTTGCTGAGGTTGACTCAGCTTTTCCATTGCACACGCGCTGTTTGCGAGAGGCACGGTTCCCAGAGCATGTAGGGCTCCCTATAAATATTTGCATTGACAGTGAAGCCCAGGATTTAGATCTTCGGAGCGGCGTGCCAACTTGCGCATTTTGCCCACTGGCTTCTTACGTCTTGAAGGAGCTAAATCCTGAGGATTACAAGTTTTGAGTGCAATCTAAGATATTGCTCTCATATAGAAATAATAACATATGGGTGCAGGGGGACGGGGAGACGTAGGGGGGGAAAAAGATAAAGGGATTATTTGGTCACTTAATTCACACTCTGCGTGCCTTCCCTTTCAGATGGTCTTGCTGCGTTCAGGGCTTTTCTGAAATCGGAATTCTGTGAAGAAAACATCGAATTCTGGCTGGCCTGCGAAGACTTTAAGAAAACCAAGTCACCCCAAAAGCTGTCCTCAAAAGCAAAGAAGATCTACACGGACTTCATAGAAAAAGAGGCCCCCAAAGAGGTAAGAAAAGGAAAAATCCCCGTGTTAAGCACATTCTGAACATTCTTAGCACCAAAATGAAACCAAAAGCGTTGCTGAGAAATCTTAAATTAAAAGGGGGGAGGAGGGATGGGAGCAACGTGCTTCCTCTAACCCAGGCTTTGAACTAAGTTTCTTCAGTGGCTGGAGAAGCTAATCAGATGTTACAGTTGGGGGATTGTTGGTTTTCAAACATTAAATAGACTCAACCATCTTAGCTCTGAATATGGAATAAAGCACTTCTCTCTGTTGGATCGTTTCAGATAAACATAGACTTTCAAACCAAGACGCTCATTGCCCAGAACATCCAAGAGGCTACGAGTGGCTGCTTTGCGACAGCCCAGAAGAGGGTGTACAGCCTCATGGAGAACAACTCCTACCCCCGCTTCCTGGAGTCGGCCTTCTACCAGGATCTGTGTAAAAAGCCCCAGGTCGCCGAGGAGGCCCACGCCACATGAGATGACAGCGACCCCCCCCTGGCGTGGAGGACTTTTCACTTTGTCCCCGAGGGGGAAAGGCCGTGACCTTCCCCGGAGGACTGACCTTGACTGCAGCCTGGGTGTTGGGGAGACGTCACTCAGAACTGTTGACTCAGAGTTGGGGAGCGCCCTGGGGAGCTGGCAGCCCCCCCAGGAGAGGCTTGCCCCGACCGAGGTGGCCTCCGTGTCCGTGACTGTACAGCACACACACACTGGGAGCACGTGGTCTGATCCGGGGGGATGTCTCCCGTGGGAAGGGCAGGTACCTGGGATGGAAAGAGAAGGATGAAATACTTATTGGTCCAAAAAGCATTTTTGAAATCAGTGGGGCCTGGGATCCTGTGGGCCCTAAGTCGCTGGCTGTACATCTTTCCCAACGTCGGTCCCTGTTGCCACACAGTGGTCTTAGTTGTAGTTCGTTTTTTGTACTAAGTGATGTTAACGTGTTTACTACGTGCAAGCATACCCATGTGCTCGTGACTGCAGATCTTGGGCCCCGTGGGGTCTCGGGACCCTGACAGCTGACACGGTCTGTGTTTTTACTGCCCCTCGGTGTGTCCCGGAGTGAGTGCTATTATTGTGTAGGAAGTAGTGCCCGTTGTGAGTGCCAAAAACATGTCCTGAAGGCAGCTAACCTTTGAAGTGGTCTTTGCATACTTTTAATAAATTTATTTTGATAAATAATGTCACTGACTATTGCGTCCAGATCTGGATGTTTTTTTGTTGTTGGGCTGGTCACGGGAAATAACGGCAGAATCAAGGGCATACATCCCCTTTCTGACAGATCGGAGTGGGTGTTTCTCCGAATAGCTGGGGGAAATGGTCCCAGCTCCACAAGGTTTACCTAAGTCAGAAACTGTATGATCACATCCTCAGAGTCACCCTGGGATCAAGCTTTCCAATGTAATCTCGCAAAAAAACACACACCAAGCTTGTGCATAATGAAAACGAAAGAACACGGCCCCCCAAGTCCTGTTTGTGAGGTTCTGTTCAAGACCAGCTAAATGGGAGACCAAAAACAATGTCACTCATGTAACTAAGCTTCCCAAATGAGGAGACAGACGCTAAGCCCGGTGAATGCAGGCCAGCCTCTCTGACACCCCCTGGGTTCCAAGTTCCCCTATGGAGCGCTGGCCTGAGCTTCCCAAATATGCACCTGAGGCTGTTCTCCATGACAGGTCAGGAGGAAAAATTCTGATCGCCCTGCCTGGGTTCAGCCAAGAAAAAGATGTAAGAGGGAGGGGGGCGGTGAGGCGAGGCAAAAATTAAGGGGGGATGGGATGAAAAGTAAAAAAAAAAAAAAAAAAAAAAAAAAAAAAAAAAAAAAAAAGGGAGCTCTCTCTTGGATTCGGAAACCTGAGCCCAAGGAATGAGGCCTCAGCTCTGACCTGGGAGTCCCCTCTCCTAGATTGACACATTCCTGCCTATCCCACTGATTCCTGGGAGGAAGGGACGTTGTAACGCAAAAACAGACCTCATTTACATTATTTTTTTTAAGTTAGTAACCTGTTCATTTTTTTTAAGTATGGTTTTTTAAAATAAATAAATATATATATATTATTATTATTGATTTTTTACAGAGAGGGAGAAAGAGAGTTAGAAATATCGATGAGAGAGAATCATCAATCAGCTGCCTCTTGCACACCCCCTACCGGGGATGTGCCTGCAACCAAGGCACATGCCCTTGACCGGAATCGAACCTGGGACCTTTCAGTCCGCAGACCGACCGACGCTCTATCCACTGAGCCAAACCGGTTTCGGCTAGACATTCTTACTCTCCCCACAGTTCATGGTTTTTGGTTTTTGTTTTTCATTGATTTTTAGTGAGAGAGGGCGAGGGAGGGAGAGAAACATCCATTAATCTGTGCACCCCTCTACCAGGGATCAAGCCCGAAACCTGGGCAGGTGACCTGAGCTGGAATTCAACAGGCAACCTTTATGTACAAGGGCTGATGCTTGACCTACTGAGCCACACTGGCCAGGGCCTGTCCTTTAAGTTCGGTTTCCATTGTACTTGAGCGGGTTTCACTTGAAGCAGACTTTCTGGCACACACAGGCACCAGCTTCGTGACGGACATGGCCTCGCTCATTCCCGTGCCACCAGCAGGCCAGAATGACATATGAATAACGACATATGTATAGGTGCTCCGTGAATAGGGAAAGGGTCACGGAGAGGGATATTTCTTCGGAGAATAAATTATGTCAGGTCTGCACGAGCCTGGATTTGGAAAGGTCCTGGCCGAACAGAAAAACCCGGGAGCCATGCCACATGTCCGAGTTGTCACCAGGTCCTGTGCCGTTGACTTCCCGTCTCCAGCGGCCTGCTTTCTGTCACCACCCTGGTCGCAGGAGCCACCATCTGATGCCTGGGAGACTGCTTACCCCGCGCCCCCCCCCCCCCGCCCCCATTCCTTCCCCTCCCCTAATGCGCTTTCTGCTTTTTAACTCTAGGGACCCTTTCAAGACATAAAGCTGCTCTTGTCTCCTGTGGCTTGTAAACCTTTGACAGGTTCCCCCAAGCAATTCAGGAGATAAAGGTGCAATCCCAACTAGGGTCTAACTCCTTCATGGTCTGACCCCTCCTTCCATTCCAACCTTGTCCCCAGTGTTCTCTGCTAGCCACGCTGGCCTACTTCCGCCCGCTTGTAGGTGCCATGCCGACTGGTTTCACAGGGCCTGGAATGCTGCTTGAGTTCTTACTCATCATCGTTCATCTCTCAAGGCCACGGTCACTTCCTCGGGGAAGGCTTTCCTGACCTCCTCACCAAGGTCAGATCCCCTTGGAGACATGCTCAGAGCACCAGGCTCTCTAGTGGAGAGCCTTTTAGTACAGTTCGTGTTCTACTATGTAGCTTATTTGGTCATCCTAGCTCCGTGGTGGGCAAACTGCGGCTCGCGAGCCACATGCGGCTCTTTGGCCCCTTTGAGTGTGGCTCTTCCACAAGATACCACGGCCTGGGCGAGTCTATTTTTGAAGAAGTGGCGTTAGAAGAAGTTTAAGTTTAAAAAATTTGGCTCTCACCAAAACCGGTTTGGCTCAAACTTTTGACATATGTGTACCCCTTCTGTAATTTTCGTAACGCTGAGTACCTCTCGTACTCATGAAAACGTTGAATTAGGCGCAGCTAAGCACAGTGCAGTGCATACCCCCACCAAACTCTTCTCGTACCCCTGGGGGTACACACACCACACTTTGGGAAACACTGGCTTAGTGGATAGAGCGTCGGCCTGCGGACTGGAAGGTCCCAGGTTCGATTCCGGTCAAGGGCATGTACCTTGGTTGCAGGCACATCCCCGGTGGGGGTTGTGCAGGAGGCAGCTGATCCATGTCTCTCTCTCATAGATGTTTCTAACTCTCTATCCTTCTCCTTTCCTCTCTGTAAAAAAATCAATAATATATATATATATATATATATATATATATATATATATATATTATTTAAATGTGGCTCTCCAAAGAAATGTCAATCGTTGTACTGTTGATACTTGGCTCTGTGGACTAATGAGTTTGCCGACCACTGGTTTAGATCTTTCCTCTTTCCAATGTTTGATGCCACTATTGGAAGATGATGTGTCTTTTTCTGCTCACTGCTGAGTCCCAACACCCAGCACCCAGCACCAGGCCTGGCACATGGGGTGAATAAACAGTCAGAGGTCTGGTGAATGCATTTGGGTGAATTAAGAAGCGTCTTCCAACAACACAAAAGAACCAGGGACAGGGTTTCAAAAGCCCCATTGGCATCCATGTCTGATAGTATTGGCCGAGCTTTTTCCTTCGACAAAAAAATGAAATATTCTTACGAAGCATTTTCTCTATGACTTTTTTTTTTTTTCTCTTTTTTTTTTTTTTTTTTTTCTCTATGACTTTTGATTTGTAATAGGAGAAGCCAGATTGCAGTCACACGTGCGCGCGCACACACAACACACACACACACACACACACACACACACACAAGAGTTTTGACCTTTTCAGGGCTGCTCAGTGACAGGCTCGAATCAGGATCCAGGTGGTATATTTTCCAATGTTCTCTAGAGGAACACACTGAAATAGATCCAAGATTAGACACGACATACCTCCACAAATAAATATTTCGTGGTGTTCCTCACGGGATCCACAGTCCATTCGTTTGGACAGTGTTTCCTTTTTCGTATGTTTTAAGCCCAGGAGTATTTCAGACAGTCCCCCAGGAGGTGGAGCGGGGAGAAGGAATTGTCTATTTATTATCGGTCACGTGAGCAGAGGGAGGCAATCTATAAGTTTCAACGGGTTGCTTCAAGTAACACCCGAAATTTCATGGAAAGCAGGTCTTTGGTAGAGGGGCAGCTGATTGGTGTGTTGACCATAGTATTTGATGATGCTCGCCTTGAAGGGGCTGGCGAGTGAAGAGAATCTGTATCTGGAAGGGATAGAGTCTAGAAAGTGCCCGTCCTGTGCCAGGCACTCTGCCAATTCTAACTCTGTTTTCCGACAGAGTTAGCCCAAAACGGCAGGTAAAGACGGACTGCATCTGACTTCATAGGTTGTCGCCGCTGTTAAGTGGCTGGCTCTGACCTGTACGGAGACTCGCATGGTCTGGACGAGATGCTCTAGGAAATCACTTCTGCATTTTTGTCAATGGCAAGGAGATGGCGTATACCCGGCTTTTGGCATCCCAACGAAGGGGCGACAACCCCAAAGAGCTTCTCCTGTGACCCAAAAGGTTAACAGAGGAACCCCCTGCAGTGGTAAGAAGTATGTTCTAGCCCCCTGGTTGGCAAACTGCAGCTCTTGGGCCCCTTGAGGGTGGCTCTTCCACAAAATACCATAGCCTGAGTGAGTCTATTTTGAAGGAGTGGCTTTAGAAGTCTAAGTTTAAAAAAATCCGGCTCTCAAAAGAAATTGCAGAGGAGACAGGTTTGGCTCAGTGGATAGAGCGTCGGCCTGCAGACTGAAAGGTTCCAGGCTCGATTCCGGTCAAGGGCATGTACCTTGGTTGCGG